TTTAATATGGTTTTTCTTCTTGGTAAAAGCAGCAGGGGTGTTTTAGTATCCTAATGATATCAGGGAAGGAGACTCTCAGCCTGCCACAGGTCTGCAACACTGAGCTCGGGGTCTCCGAATTTGGTGAATGGATTCTAGGAAGAACGGAGGTCAGTAGTGGGAAGAATTTATTGAGAGAAAGAAAGCTGTTTGAGAGGGACTGAAGGCGCCCCAGAAAGTGAGTTGCCCGCTTCCTGCCTTTCATCTTCCCCTCCCCCAGGCAGCCCCCACAAAGGGCTTCAAACGCAGCTCTCACCCTGCTGTTCAGAAGCTCCCAGTGGCTCCTGCTTCCTGAAAAGTGAAACCTAAGCCCTTCCGCATTCTGCATCAGATCCCTGTGGGCCAGCTCTGCATTTTTTCTTTCTTTTCCTTTTTTTTTTTTTAATTTGAGTCTCTGGCCTTGAAGTGGTGACCCTCCTGCCTCAACCTCCCAGAGCACTGAGGTCCCAGGTGCGCCCCACCAGGCTGAGCTTCAGTTGCACTCTTCCTGACACCTGCACTGCTCCCTGGTATCAGACCTTCATTTTTCTACTGTGCACACATTTTTATAACATAAAAGCAAAACGTAGGAATGCTGTTTTACTTGGAAAAAAAAAAAAAAGCAAGGCTAAGAGTGGGGTTCAGTGATGGGCATGTGACCCCCAGTGTGAGCCCCGATTCAGTCCCAGCACCACACACACGAACGCCATCCTTTCTGGTGGTGAAGGTGGTGATGCTTCTTTCTCTGTCTTTGTACTCCACATCCCTTTCTGTCCCTTTTGAGATAGATAAGATCTCATTGTGTTCTCTAGACCAGAGTTGAACTCACTTCGTAGCCCAAGCTGGCTCCAAACTCACAGCACTCCCCTGCCTCAGCTTCCTGAGTGCTGGGATTACAGGCATGGGATACCATGCTTGGGCTGTTTTCTTTAAAAGCCCAGCAAGCTTTGCTCCCTTAGGAGTTCTCGTTGCTTCCTGATGGGGCAGATGAGAGTGTGCTTTTGGGTAGAAGTCCAGAGCTTGGTCATGCAGCGAGGCCCTGGCATACACATGGAGCACAGCGCACCTTCCCTGCCTTGAGGTTGAAACTGAATGCGGCCAGCGCTGCCGGGACCCTTTCAGGATGAGGGATGTCTCACCCACCGAGATTGTCTGTTTAGCTCCTGCCCCACTGGGCCGGAGTCCCGCTCTTGTTCCTATTTCTTGTTTTCCTTTTCACCTTTGGGTCCCTTGCAGTCACATCTAGGAGTGACTGCTGTCCATTTCCAGCCCTCACCCTCTCTGGGCTTCTGCTTAGGCTTGGGCTTTCTGGTTGACCCATCCTTCCTAGGAGCCCACAGAAGTCACAGGATTTGTGATTCCCTAGAGCCAAAGCTGTTCTTGGAGCCCAGGAGATTCCAAGGCGTGCAGGGGCTCGGCGTTAGGAACCAAGGACAGAGAGCAGACCTTGGAACCAAAGATGCTCCTGGCAGACCTGCCACCCAGGGGTCTCTGACCTTACAGCTCTGCGTCAGACACCACAAATGTGGCTTTTTGGTTTTTGATGTTGCAATCATTGTTTCTCTCCTCTCTCACAGAACAGAGAAGAATAATTGTTAAAAGCCTGAATTTCAGAAGTTCAGAGACCACTGCTAAGATTTTGAAATACATTAAAAGTACCTCATCTATAATCTCAAGTCCTCAGGTAGCTGAGGCAGGAGGATTGTAAGTTCCAGCCCCACCTGGGAAATTTATCAAGACTCTATCTTTAAAGGAGGATGGGGGCTGAGGATGTAGCCCCCCTCAAAAAAGAAAAAGAACTCATACATATTCATGCATGTGATTAGAAAAGCCAAATGATACTGAAATGTTGGGATGAGAAGAAAAGACCCCTTTCCCCAGGCTCCCCTCTCTGGAAGCGCCCCTGCTAACAGAAGCTTCCTCCAGGGCCTTGGCATCGGGGGTACCGCTTGCACCCCCGTCCTGGCACCCACACAGGAAGGCTGCATTCTCCACAGGCGCTTTCCCTGCTCTCCTTGGTACACCGGCGCCTCCTCCTGACGCTGCACAGCACCCATGCCCGGGATGTGCTGAACCTGCTGATATTTGCATAACGTGCAGGTCTGATACGTGTGTATGATTTTTTAAAAATTCGGTAAATATACAGAATTTTAAAATTTATTGCAGTAGAAGATGTGCCTTTCATGCCCCTCAGAAGCGCCGCCTTCACTCCAAGCACATTTATCCCATGGTCCTTGTGACTTTCTGAAGCGGCTCTGGGAGGCTTCTCTGGTGAGAGCCTTCAGTTGCACTATGACAGCTGCTTCGATGCCCTGACTGGATTCAAAACTTTGCTTTCCTTGGTCCGTTTGACTTCGGGGCAGAGCCCGAAGTCACACGGTGCCAGACCCAGGGAGTAAAGGGGATGAAGACGCACCGTAGTGTTTCATTTGACAGAACTTGCCGTAAACGATTGATCCTTATGGGAGGACCCAAAGCTGCAGGGAATATTCACATTTTAAAGTTCTATTACCATAAGACGTTGCCCTGAAGCCCCTCAGAATGCTCCTGCTTGCTCTGAACACGCTTTGCCATCGTTCTTGACTATGTGGAGCTACATCTCCAGCCTTTTTATTTTTTATTCTGATACAGACACTCTCTAAGCTGAGAGGTTGTCCCGGGCTGGGCTTTAATCTGTGGTCCTCCTGCCTCAGCCTCCCAGAGTGAGCTACTACACCCAGCTTCACCGGACTGTGCTTAACTCTGTGGATACATGTCCCTTTGCTATAGTGTGTCTTGTTTTCTGCTGCACGCAGGGTTCTTATGTGAAAGTCCTGACTTAAGGCTTGTCTGGTGTAGAAAGCAAGGTGTTGGAAGTGGGCATGCTGCACAGGCGAGTGGGGCATCTCTGTTCCTGTCAGCAGAGAGGCTGCCTACCCCTCTCTCAGAGACACCTGGCCAAGCACAGTCCTGAGCTGGCCAGGCCCAGGGAGTGTCCTGTCTGTGCTGAGCCTGCCGTCCTGGCTGCAGGATTGTCGAAGCCTGGCCTCTGGCTCAGCTCGCTCTGTGGGCTAGAGAGCCTCCGCATGAGGCCTGCCGGGGCTCCACACCCTCCAGCCCTTGCCAGCTGGCCCATTCCTGCATCTCTCTCCTCCTCCGATGTTTCTGCAAGTGCCAGGGACTCCCCACTCCTCTGAGCCTTTCCGGGTTGGGCAGGACACTCCTCCTGCCATCTGTTCCTGGAACCTGCTGGGAGAGAACTGGCTGAGGAGGCGGATCTCTGACCAAGGCAAGGAAGGACAATGACACTATGTGGCATTATGAGCCAGGCATTGTGACCCCAGTGAGGCAGGAGGGAAGGGGTTAGCAGGAGCTAACACTACTGTGAAGACTGCGGAGTCAGGGACCCAGCCACTGTCACCCATAGCATCTAACTACCTGGATAAATTCAGGTTTCTTTCCTTCCCTGGGAATACTGAAAGTCCATGAGTGGGTTTGAGAAAATAAAGAGAAACAGCCTGGCCCTAAGATAAAGAAGCAGGGTGAGAGAATTCAAATAATGCTTAAATTATCCATGTTTAAAAAAACCCTGGGCATGGCAATGCATGCCTGTAATCTCAGCACTCGGGAGGCTGAGGCAGGAGGATCATTGAGAGTTTGAGAACAGTCTGGGCTACATAGTGAGTTCAGAGAGCTGGGGGTTTAGCTCAGTGGTGTAAGTGCCTTCCTGACAAGCACAAGATTGTGAGTTCAATACCCAGTACAAAAACAAACAAACATAGTGAGTCAATAGCAAGACCTTGACTCAAAGAAAAGAAAAAAAGGGGGCTGGGGATTTAGCTCAGCGGCGTAAGCACCTGCCCTGCAATCAGGCAGTCCTGAGTTGGATCTTGAGTATGGGAGAAAAAAAAGTCTTTTTCTGTGATGGGAGTCAGCAAGCCTGCAAATCTGTTCCAAAAGAAGGGTGGGTTAGGGCCTCACCTTGGCTTCAGGAGTTTCCTCAGACCCCGTGGCAACACCCACATTCTTGGAGGGAAAGGCAAGATGGTCATAAGTTCAAGCCTGGTCTGAGCAACTTTAAAAAAAAAAAAAATTAAAGTAACTGGTAATTGATAGAACTGTGGGGGGACCGGCGGCGGCTGAAAAGATAAGAAGTGTGAAATATAAATGATCTTTATTTTGAGAATTCGGGGAGAGACACCCCCGACCCCCTGAGGCACGCCATCTCCACCCCAGGGTCGGTGATCTCTCTGTGGAACACGTGGAGTGAGGCACATAAGTAGCCTCGGTTTGGGGTGGAACCTAAGGGGGCATTAGGGATGCACAGGTAGCCCACTGGTCTTTGTTTGGCGCCAGAGGTAGATTCCTAGGGGCGGGGGAGATAGAGCTCTTTGGTTCTGGCTGCTGTATCCTGCCTGGGCCAAAACCCTTTCAGTAATGATGCTGTTGCTCCATGTGCAAGATCTGAGAGAGAAAGAGGAAAGAGGAGGGAAAGGAAGGAAAGAGGAGAAGAAAATGTAAGAAAGCGTGTTGCAGGAAGCAGAGGAGCCTCGGCCTCCTGGGCAGCCCCACCACTGTGTCTCCTGCCTGTGTTCATTGGCTGTGACAGGGAGGGAATCCTGGGCCCGCTTTTTGGGATGGCAGCCACGTGGGGGACAGGCGCTCTCTGGGAAAGGTCAAGGTCAAGGGCATGGGGTAAACAGAGAAGCAGCACATTTCTGGCTGCCTGGTGTTTGCTCTGATGCCACAACCTTCGCCTGCCTGTGGACCTGCCCTCTGTTTAGGGCTGCTGCTGGGTATGGCTGCTCTGGGCCTCGGTGCCCCTTCCTGCCTCCCATCTTCTGCACCCTGTTACTTCCCCTTGTCCCCAAGGTGTTTACTCTGGAGAGCCAAAGGGGCCTCGGCTCCCTCCCTGTTCACGCCCCCCACAAACATCCGCAGGGTGGACCCTGCCTGTTCCCTGCTCTCTGCCTGCAGCGCTGACTCCTGTCCTTGTCTTGCAGGAAGAGGAGCAGGACTCAGGTGTTGACAAGGACCCAGCCTCGGCAGAGCCAGAGGATGAGGACGGTGAGTGGGCCCACCTTCAGCCATAGTCTCTGCCCCTCCCCCGAGTGGTAGAGGAGGACCTCCTCCACCTGTGCTGCGCTAGGTGGGGACACCGGCTCTGGCAGCCTGAAGGAGGAAGGAGAGGGGTCCAGTGGGTGCCCCACCCAGAGCACCATGCACCCCTTACCTCCCCACCATGCCCCTGGTCCTCCATCGTCAAGTGAGTGGCTGCAGATACAGGGGACTCTCTTGGGAGTAAACTGAACTCCCTGATCTCTCTGTCCTGCTCTGCCTTTGTGACCACCAGTGTGCCTTTCCCGGTTCCCACCAAGTGTCTCTGACTGTCTCTCCAGGCTGCCACTGGGGCTGCCTGCAGAACAAAGACCTGAAGACAGGCGTGGTAGTGTACGCTGTGACTCCAGCAGTGTGGGAGGCTGAGGCAGGAGTGCAAACCCTTCCTGGGTAATTTTTCAAGACTTTCAAAGTAAGAAATGAGAAGGGCTGGAGATGGAGCTCAGCGCCAAGACCCTGGGTTCCATCTCACTGAACACCAATGAAAAGGCCCACGGGGCGAAACTCCCTGCTCACTGTCAGCGCCCTCTCCGCCACCTCATCCTGGACAGACAGACAGACACACAGACCAAAATGGATGGGCTTCTGCTGGTCTCTCAGGTTTTCTTTCTTTCAAAAAGAAGTGGCGGGGCTGGGGATTTAGCTCAGCGGCATAAGCGCCTGCCTTGCAAGCAAGCAGCCGTGAGTTCGATCCCCGGTACCGATAAAAAGGAAAAAGACAAAACAAAACAAAACAAAAAGAAGTGGCAGCAAAGATAGCAAAGTGTCAACACTCCCTGAATCTGTGTCCCAAGTAAACAGAGGACTTACTGCTTTCGGTATTTTTGTGTTATGTTTAAAAATACTTTGCAGTTTTTTGCAGAGCAAGGCTGGGGAGGTGGCAGGCTGGCAGCGGTGGAGAGGGGTAGCCCCCACCCCAGGCCTCCTGCCAGCTCAGGGCAGAGAGAGGGAGGCTGGTGGCCCAGCTGTCAGCAGGAGGCATGAGCTGCTCCTGCCTGCTGGCTAATTGATTAGTTTCGCTAAAATGACTCTGCTGATGGACCTGCCCGCTCCTGGGCCTCAGCCATCCACCCTCCCACACCAGTGCAAGGGGATGGGCTGTGCAGCACTTATGCCCTGCGGGGTACTGTGCTAAAGCAAGTCATCCATTCTGTCTGCCTCAGAAAACACCAAGCTAAAAAAAAAGAAAAGAAAACACCAAGCTAATCAGATCTGCCCCGTGACCCAACGCTGAGCCTGGGACCACACAGGCAAAATTCTTGTCTCATTTTGCTGGTCACCCCATAGTGGCTGCAAGCTTGGTTTGGGCTGGCTAAGGGACACAAAGGGTCCTGCTTCCCGGTGGATTCTCTCATTAGCATGCTTGGGCTCTTCTGCAGCCCCTTCCTGCCAGCCTGCACAGCCACCTCTGTGCTGGCTCTAGGCCACACCCCTGCGACCCCGCCCTGCCGCTGAGTCCTCCTGGGACCTGGAGGTCTGCCCTGCGGCTCTACTCTGGGGCCTGGCTTATCTGGCTGCAGCTATTCAGATCTGTCCTGTTTTGACCCAGATGTGCCCTGTGGACTCCTGGTCACCATGGCAGGAGGGATGAGGAGAAGGTGCCTGGCTGACCATGCAGGCTCCTAGAGCCCAGGAGGAGGGTCAGGGTCCCCAGGACACAGAGCCTGGCACCTAGAGCTTCCGAGAAAAGCTGTGTCTGCCTGTCTGCTGCCAGGGCCAGGTTGTCCCAGACAGGGCACAAAAGCCTTGCAGACAGGCCTGGCTCCCGGCTGGGGGTAGGGGTTGGGGTGGGGGGACAGCTGGCTCTGCGTGCTGGCAGGGGATGGAGGCATACATGGAAGGGGGGCTCTCACTGGCTGTCTCATTTCATCCCTATGTTTGCTGTTTGTTTCAAGGGCAGGATGTAAGGAGCTCTAGGATTGCATGGGGAAAAAAAAAGAGATGAGCTTAGAGGCAGGAGCTGGGGTCAGAAGACAATGTCAAGTGTCCAGCCTTCTGGGAGACTGGAGACTGTCCCCCAGCTGGTTATGCATGAGCCATCTGACCCTGATTAGCAGGGGGCCTCTCTGCTTGAGGAACTTGTTTTAAAATTTAACAAAGGAGCAGGTGTAATCCCAGTATTCGGGATCTCCCTGAGTTGAGAACAGCCTGGGTTATGTACTAAGACCTTGTCTTAAAAATCTCAAGGGGAAAGAAGAGGGGAGATGGGGGGGCAGATCTGACCACCGTGGCTCTTACCAGTCTCCCCTCTACAGGAGAGGCCTTCTCCTTTAAATACAGCCCGGGGCAGTTGAGGGGCAACCAGTACAAGAAGATGATGACCAAAGAAGAACTGGAGGAGGAGCAGAGGTGGGCAGCGCACCAGCTCTCTGGGGATCGGGTGTGGGCGGGGCTCCCTCAGACCACGCCTCCAACACCCCTTCCAAGTTTGGGGTCCTCACCTGTCTTGGTGACATTCAGCCAGGCCCCATCAAGGGAAGAGCTTCCGTGGGGCACTCGCTGGGAGAAGGCAGCCGGTGATGGGGGGAAAAGAGGGTCCATGGAGCGATTTCCTGCAGCCCCCACCCGGTCCCCCACTCCTTCCCCAGAGCCTGCTCTTCGCTTGTGCCTAGAGTCCAGGACAGAGCCGGTTCAGAGCCACTTGTCACCGGGACAGAGAGGGGTCTCGGTGCGCCTCCTCTCAGCTGCCTCGCCCGCCCCGCATTACTGTTCTGAGCTTCGCTGCAGAGCCCCAGCCCGCCCACTCCCTCCACCCTGTCCCGCAGGGGGGGTGCGCTCCGAAGGGTGAGGAGCGAGTCTGCGCCCGGCCCTGTGCTGGTGCCACGCCGCTGACCGCGCGAGCTCGAGGTGACTAGTCCTGTGCCTGGAGCCTGGTCTTTGCCGGGCTGTGTCGTTTTCCCAGCCCGCCAAGGCAGGGAGACTGGGCGCGCCCCCTGCAGGGTACAGCTGCAAGATAGGCAGGATGGATGGGGTGGATCGCAGGACTCGGCCACCCGCCCACCTGGTTCCTCCCACCTGAGCCGCCCTACCCGGCGTCCCCTTTGGCTGGTCTCCTCTTCTGGTGCCTGGCTTCCCTAGCTCCTGTGCTGGCCTCCGGGGTTGGTCGTGTAGACCCAGCCAGGAGGGAGACTCCCCCTCCACCTATGCCAGCTACCACTCATGTTTTCCCATATGCTGCCTTTATATTGCAGGATTGAGCTGACCTCTGACCTCACTTCCCTGTAGCAAGCTCTCTAGGTCCTGAGCCACAAACATTCTTGCAAAAATTTTGGTAAGGAGATTGATTTCCTAGACTAGTGGTGGTGTCCTCACATGGTCTCTGATTTCCTAGACTAGTGGTGGTGTCCTCACACGGTCTCTGATGGGTCCCCGGTGCTATCGCCGCTGTGGTCTGAACCCCATTCCTCACCGCCTTCATAATCAGTGAATGCATTTCGCCCCCACCCCAGCCAGGATCATTCTTATGCACGAGGGACTCCCAGGGCCAAGGGCTCCCCAAGACCACAATAAGTCTGATGCTTGGAGTGCTGGTGCCCTCTCTGAGATTGAGCTGCCCCCGGCAGGGGGCGCTGCAGGCATGTACATGTCATTTGCAGCCTTTTTTAGGTCACCATAGTGGCTTTAGACAATGCGGGAACAGGCACTGTCCCCTCACTGTGCTCTAAACTGTGGGACAGGTGGGTTCTTACCACCAGATTGCAGACCATGGCCAGGGCCACATCTTGCCCCACACCTGCTGGTGCAAATCCGGAGTGACCAGGCACAGCCACATTTACTCATTGTCCTGTAGTCTGTAGCCGCTTCGGAGCTCCAGTGGCAGAGCTAGGAAGTCACAGCAGATGTTGCATGGCGCCCAAACCCCAAAACAGTGTACCCAGGATGAGAGCTAAGAGAGGGCCTGATGTACCTGCTGTCCTGCCAGACCCCCTAGATGGGCACGGGACGGCACTGGGACCTTATTCTTCTGCACAGGTTGATGTGCAGCGTGGCCTACAGGGGCCATTAGAATAGGGGAGACCAGGGCCAGGCTGCCACTGGACTGCCACTGCCACCTGGGGCCTTGGAAGCAGAGAAGGAAAATCTTTGTTTTCAAAGAAAAGCAGAGCCTCCATCACCCAGCAGGCCCTCTCCCAGTGGTTCCTCTGGGCTCTCAGGACCCCTAGTGCACGCTCTGTGGGATGGACACAGTGCCCAGAAGTTGCCCTTGGATGAGGGCAGCAGAGTCCCCGACTCCTCAGGGAACCGCAGTAGTCATGACCACTGTGTGGCCCAAGTGGAGGACAGGCTAGCGGAGGTTGAGGGCAGGGCAGGGCAGAGTTCCTGTTCATCCCATCGCTGCCCTTGCCCAGCATGTTCCCCTGGCCCTCGCATGCCTTGACATCTGCTTGCTCCCTTTCGCCCCTGCATGTAGCCCCAGCTGAACTGCCTGGGGCCACCTGGCTTCCGTCCGCACATGGTAATGCTTGAGGTTGCAGAGGCTGGTTGATTTGGCTTTGTTTTTGTTGTTACTGTTGCTGTTTTTGTCTTCAGCACAGTAGTCCCTACAGGGGACGGGGGGAACAGATGGCTGCAGGATACTTTGGGACCTATCTGAGTTCAGGGAGCTGCCCTAGAATTTTCCTGTGAAAAATAACATGTGTGTTACTGTCCAACCACTGAACCAAAGCCAGCAGATGGGCACTCATTCCTTTACCCATCAGATTTTTTCCCTGTCCGACTCTGTGCCTCTCTCTGATTCTGTTTGCACTGCTCAGGGCACACAGTATCATTGTAAGCTAGGTAACAGGTGAAACACTGTCTTGAAACTTATTAGCTTGGCACTGTGTCAGTGGTGGTTCTGTCCGGCAAGCCCCAGAAGACTGGCTTCCAGCTCCTGGCTTGGCAGGAGGGTCCACGTGAGCCCTCCCTGGGAGCTCACCTGGGCACCCTACCCCTGGGCTGTCACAGGTAAAGCTTTTTCTGCTTAGGGACTGACAAGGTGGTCAGGTTTGCAAATCTAAGGACAGCTGCTGCTTAAGACCCTGCTGACCAGCCAGCTCACTTCCTCAGGTCTCTTTTGGACAGAGGCTCCCACACTTCCTGGCATTGCCTATGGCGCTGAGGATGTCCTAGGGTTCTCCCTGCAGCTCCTCTCGGAGGAGCTGTCTACAGTTCAGTGCAGGCTGGGGCAGGAGACCTTCACCTCCCCCAGTTCCTAGTGAAGCAGGAAGGGCCTGGCTGGTTTCCCATCTTGGCAGGAAAAAGCCTCCTGTTTGGGCTGGGGATTTAGCTCAGTGGCATAAGCACCTGCCTTGCAAGTAGGCAGTCATGGGTTCAATCCCCGGTACCGATAAAAAGGAAAACGACCAAAAAAAAAAAAAAGCCTCCTGTTCATCAGTCTTCCCACTCTTTCCCAGAGGCAAAGCAGAAGTTAGCGTGCAGACTGGGCTGGGACTGACAGCCCAGGCTGCCCCACGCCCCTGATGGGAAGGTCCACAGGAGTATCCTGCCTCTTCACCAAATGAATGAGACTTTGGTGGAAAGTTTTGCATGGCACAGCAGGAAAGGGGAGGAGGAAGTAGAGGAAACACACTGTGGGCTGCCTCTCCTAGTACTGCAGCCTGCTGTATGTACGCATGAAACCAAGACCAGCACTCCAGTGTGAATTTCCAATCTGGAAATGCTCATTGACTCCATCCTCCAGAAGAGGGCGCCAGAAGCACAGAATTAGATGCCCTGCCCGTGCTGCGCTTGCTTCTCAAGGGTGGCTTACCGTTCTTCCTGCCCTTGTGGAGGAACATGTAGGCAGCCAGTATCCCTAGAGGGAGCAGAACCCAGCCAGCAGGAACCAGAAATTACCTAAGGTGGCAGAAGCATCAGTGTGACCATCGTCAAGCTTGAATGCCCCACTGAAAGTGGCAGCCAGGCTCCGCGTGGGTCCGCAGGGATCTCTGCAGGGGCTGGCAGTCTTGCACTGAGACTGTCCAGCTGCAGGTGACAAGAAGCAGGCTGCCGCCTGCCGGGTGTTTGAGAGCCCGACACCCAGTGAGGCTTCTGCAACTTCAAACATTCTCCTCCCCCTTTTCCCTCCCAGTGCACTTGTGAGGAGTTAGTAAAATACGTTCTTTTTCTCCCTATTTCTCTTTACAGAACTGAAGAATAATGAAGTTATCCTTAGCCTCCTCTTGCTGAATGCTTTTCCTTTTGGCTTCTTAAAAGCTTGAGTGCTAACACAGAAACCCCCAGAGGGGCGCTCATGCAGTTCTGGGGGTCCTTGCCTGCAGAGCTCTGAGCTGCAGGACCCCTCCCTGGTTGGCGGGAGCCTTGGCAGTGCCTTTGGCCCTGCCCTGGTTGGAGGTGCTCATGCTGATTGTTCGGGCCTCTTTGTTAAGCCAAAGAGTTTTAAGAGATGAGTCAGACTTTGGGCTTCTCTTAGCACCCAAGCTTTCTGTGCACATCAGAGGTAACGCCGGCTTCGGTGGCTCCAGCATTTTAAAATCCAAGTACGGTTTACCCAGCCCTCCCTTCTGCACTCACTGAAGCCAAGCCACAAGAGACTGAGGAATGACAGACCAGTGCAGCTGGACACCTCAGGGGCCGCTCGCTCTGTCAGGGATGGCCTGCCTGCCAGGACGCACTCCCCTGGGGCCTGTGCCCCTTCCTCTGGCCGGCTCCTTCCAGGGAGGACTGGTGCCATATTGATGACTGTGCAGCAGGGAGCCAATGCCAGTGTTGGCTTACTGCCGCCCTTCTGTCACCTGGAGGTGGCTTGGGTCCAGCCCTCTTGTTGCTACAGAGGCCTTTTCACTGACATTTTTACCAGCTCAGCAGAATCCACTTTTGCTCTGACAGAAGCAATAATAATTGCATTTAAAAGAGATTTCTGGGCTGTGCGTTGTCCTAGAAGGTTTTCTAGATGAGGTCGGCAGGTCAGCCCCACATTAGTGTCTTGATATTTTATATTTGACAACATTTATACTAGACCAATTTACAGTGCTTAGATTTCTTGACGGGAACATTTTTTTTCTAGAGCAATAAGTTTACAGAAGAACTTTACATTTCATTGAAGGCTGGGAAATGTCCAGCACCTGCTCCGGGGCATGGGCTTCCGGCAGCCTTCATCTTGGCCTCCATTCTTTAGGTTCAGGGCTTCAGCTGGAGCAGGAGACAAAGGAACAGCCACAGGCCAATGCCTTGCACGCAGAGCCGCGCGCAGTGAAAAGATGTCCTCATACACTTCTTAGTAGCAATAGAACATCCCTGTCCAAGCCAGGATCATATTACTCTGCAGTAGTGACTTGCTCTGAGTGTAGTTCCCTAGGTTTGTCTGGAAACTTCTAAACCTGGCTCTAGGCAGCGGCCTCATGTACCCTGATGGCTCAGCTCTCTGTATTGAGCCTTCTTTTGTCCAATAAACTTTGAGTAGATGACCTCGGTTATTGTGTGTTTTTTAAGCTTTTTTTTTTTTTTTTTTTTTTTAATAGCCTCTTTGGAACTGATTCAACTGAGTTCTCTTTCATTTTACCTCTTTCTTTTTTCTTTTTGTCTTTTTGAGGGGGGTTTCACTATGAATTTCAGGCTGGCCTTGAACTCACTTTGTAGCCCAGGCTGGCCTGGAACTCACCATGGTCCTCCTACCTCGGCCTCCCAAGTGCTGGGATTACAGGCATGTGCCACCACGCCTGGCTCTGTTTCATTTTCATGCTCTGTCATTCTTCCACAGAGTATGAGGCCTTGTGCCCAGCCTGTTTAAAATACGCAATGGCCGCAGCCACCGTGTGGAGTAGCTTGTAATAATTCAGGGAGATGCCCTGGTGCAGATGGGAGGGAGTCCATCCCGTGCTCTGCACATGACTTCCGGTTCACGATCCCTCCTTCTTTTTAAAAAATTCCTGTTTCTTTGGACTGCAGGGTACAGAATGCATCCAGACAGTGGAGCTGACCACACGAGGAGTGGAAAACTGCAGAGAACGTTTAAATTTTAAAAACTGATTACAGACGACATTGCTGTTGGTCCTCTCAAAAAGCACCCCCTTTGCTTTGCACACGTGCCTTATTGTTCTTGCCACTTTCTGAATCACTTCTGGAATCCTCTCTGGTGCGTATCTGTGAGCTACACACAGAATGTGAACACTTGCTGCTGTCCATTGCTGTCCAACACAAAGGCGGGCTCCAAAAACAGTCCGCCAAGTCCTCACCCACCTTAGCCACTGAGTGTGGTGCCACGGGACTCTGGTTCTTCCCCAGGTCAAAACGACCACAAGAGGTGAATGTTTGGGATTGGTCCAGGACATCTCGGCCGTGGGATTAAAGGCTCACGAAAGAGGACTTCCAGAGCTGCTTCAGAAAGTGTCCAGAGTGATGGGATCCGTGTGTTTGAAGCGTGTGAGGGGGGTTCGTGGCAATGCTTCTCTTATTATAATCAATTTTTAAAAATTTAAACACATTGTGGTTTTCAACTAATCTAGATAAAGGAGGCTGAGGATTGCTTCAGTATTTGAACCTGTGTGTGCCACCTGGCAGCTGGGCGGAAGATATGGGGGCAGGAGGAGGGATATTGCAGAAGTATGGTAAGCAAATATGAGTCCAGAGGTCGAGACCGGCTTCTGGGGAATGTGTGGGCTGCTGGCAGCCTGGAAACTGGTAAAGCCTGCACCATACTGACCGATGGGGCGACCAGACCCCTCTGGGAAGGGCTGGGAGGTCCGACCCGCAGTGTGGTCTCTCTCCTCACAAGGTGTCAAGCCAGCGCTGTGATGTGGAGGACAGGAACCACAGAAGTGAGGACAGCATAGGGAGAGGGTGCCAGAAGGGAACAAACAACACACCATGACGTCCCCTGGCTCCTGGGGCCCACCCCACCCTTTGTGTTTGCTGTGGGAGTTGCCCTGTGCCGGCAGATGGTGCTACCCCGCCTTGTAAAGATAACAGCCTGAGTGCAGTAAGCACAATGTCAGTCCTCGCCCACGTCTGTGGCAAGAGGGATGCGGCCACCACCTGCCAAAGGACATCTTTGTGCAAAGCATAAGCGCCCCTTTCTCTGGCAGGAAAACCTCACAGCGTGGGCCTCCCCCTCCCTTCTGCACCCCTTTGCCCGACTTCCCATTCATAAGCTCTCTGGCCAGTGCCTTGAATCAGGGGCTGTCTTTTCCAGCAAGCTCAAGCTGTGTCACGGGAGGTGTCCTCCTCTGCCTTGCCTTACTAGAAGATACCGATCCACATGGGGAAAGCGAAGCATCTCCATGGGATGCAAAGAGATACTTGTGGGCCCCCCAACCTCTAGATTGAATCTGAAATGTAGAATCCCAGTGTGGAGTGTTAGAACAAACCGGCATCTATAGTTTAAATGAGTTTCATCCTGTTTTTTGTTTTTGAGAGCATCTTGCAATGGCTGGCCTTGAACTCACTATGTAGCCTACGCTGGCCTTAAACTCACAGCGCTCCTCCTGCCTCAGCCTTCCCTGTGCTAGAATTACAGATGTGCATCATTGCTCGTTTTCTTTACCCTTACACCGAACAGCAAAGGTGGGAGCAGTGGAGGAGAGCGACCCGTCCTCCATCCCTACCTCCCCACAGCTGCACGCTTGCTCCCTGGCTGCTGGCGTAGGAGCCTCTTTTTCCTCTTCTGCCTTCTTCTCGACAGAGTTCAGAAAGAGCAGCTGGCTGCCATCTTCAAGCTCATGAAGGACCACAAGGAGACTTTCGGCGAGATGTCCGATGGCGACATGCAGGAGCAGCTCCGGCTCTATGACATGTAGGCCGGTGGCCCAGGATGGCCTGACTGCAGGACCAGCACTCTGTCCTGACCCTGGACCCAAGCGCTCTGTGATTTGTAGACTTTGGTGGGCTTAACTTTGTCTTATAAATAGACACAGATTTCCTATGGTTCCACTCGACTCTTGCAGTGTATGTGTCATCTTACGGAATCAATGTTGTTTTCCTCGGAGGAAAAAATCCCTGACCCCTTTGATTTCTGCTGGCGGGTGAGGTTGGGCAGTCACTGTCACATGGGTGACCCTCTGAGGCAACTTGGGAGCCAGTTCAATCCCTGCCCCCTGCAGGCCAGGGCAGAGGGCCAGGGGCCCACTTGAAGGCTTGACCCTTGGTCCCACCAGCCTGGTGGAGGGAATTCAGGGTGTCGGAGGGAGGTTACAACAGCTCCAGCTGCCGGGCTCTGTCTTCTCATCCTGGAAGGATTTCTGCAAGCTCCTGTCCTGGGGAAGCAAGCAGCAGGCGAGGATTCCTTAGCAACAAGCTGAATTCAAAGGCTCCTCTACCCTGGGACACCACAGTGCTATCAGTATCAGTGTCAGACCAGGCCCTAGGGGTTCCTCTCTCTAGATGGTGAAGACTTGTGTGCATTTAAGGCACCTAGAAAGATGTAGACATTCTAGATAGGAGCAGTGAAATCCACAGCTCAGGGCTGGGCTACCACTCAGCATAGAGCACAGCTGCGAGGTCCTGGGTTTGATCCCCAGGGCTTCAAGGAAGAAAATGATCTGTGGGACAGTGCATGGACACCACAGGTGATGCCCATGGGCCCTGTCTCTTATGGCCCCACTGACAGGAAAATTCAGAGCTCCCAAGAAAACTGAGTTACACAGGGCACTATGGAGAGAACCTGGGAAAGCTCTTGGCTTTTTTTTTTGTCTTTTTGAGATCGGGTCTCACTGTGAAGTTCAGGCTGGACTTGGGCTTGCTTTGTAGCCCAGGCTGGCCTCAAACTCACAGTGATCCTCCTGCCTCAGCCTCCCGAGAGCTGGGATTACAAGCATGAGCCACCATGCCCAGCCTTTGCTGCATTTTTGATTTGCCGAATAAATGAAATCATGAAATGCAAGAAGCAGTAGCATTTTTGCACACCTCAAGTTACAAGGGTTACCGTCTTCTCATCACCTCTGCATGCCGGAGGTGTTTGGGACCCCTCTCTTTTTACTTCGCTGAGGGTACTCACTTTGTGCTGTGTCTGCGCTTCTGTCCAAATGTTGGTGTTTTCTGCTTATTTTTGTCTATGCTATTTTTTCTTTTAAAAAATTAGTCCTATGTTGTAGTAAACGCTCTTTAAGTATTCTGCGATTCCAGGAGGATGTGTTCCCTGTCTTGCGGCCTGGGGTGCCCACTTTTTCTCTCACTCCTCAGCCATTCTTTTCTACCAAGCAGGAATAACACACTTATACCTGAGTCGAAATCTTCTTGGCTGTGGGGAAAATAAATGGGAGGAACTTTTGTATATTTGTAGCAGCTAAGATGTCCTGACTACAAAGGGAGAGCTCTCAGCTGAAATGGCTTAAACAAGGGACAATTTCTTGTGACACATCCTAAGGGACAGTGGTTCTGGGCAGAGGTTTTCCGGTGCCACACATTTGTTGTTGCTGTTTTGTTCGTTTAAAGTATACGTTTTATTTTCTATTTTTTGTTTTACCCCTAGGACTTCTACCAAATACACTTGCAGCAGCAGACAGAAACAGGACTTCATGCTGAGTTCCATTCTTGGTACCAAAAACAAGAACAAACAATTAGGAAGATGACTATACTTTCCAAGGAATGAGCTGTTTCTAGAGAAATTGTATGTAGGCTGTTACCAGAGCAAAAAAGAAATGCTAAGAGGGTAGAACCTAAACTGATAAAAGCCAGTTTCCTTCAGTTCCTGTTACAGTTCCTGTTACTACTGTCTCCTAGCAACTGCTGGTCACTGTGATGCATATTGTAGGAACCAGTCAAAAGACAGCCAAGTACTCTGCTTCTGTGTTTCCCACTCACAAGTCCTATAAGAATGCTGGCCCACCACTGTGCGGGGTCTGGTATTATGGGAATAAACTCTTTCAGTGCAGGAAGACATTAAATAAATCTGTCTCCAAATCCTGGATGAGTGAGACCCTGTCTCAAAAACAAAACAATGTTCTTTGTCATGCTATTGAACGTTTACCAAGCTGATGGATCAGTAATGTTGGTTCAGTGAAGATCTAATCTGCACTTTTCCTGATGAAAAGAGGGCACCTCATTCATATTTTAGGGCCCCTTTGCATTTCCCCCATAATCTGTTTTGTTTTCTATTATCATCTACGTACTTTTTCACTTCGCCTAAGAGCGCAAAGTGCATATTATCTCTGTGGCTATTTGGGACCTGGCACCCTGATTCCATATGTGATGGGAAGGGTGCCTTACGAGGCAAAGAACCTACGTTATTCTAGGAAAAGGATCTATTTATATCCTGAGCAAACCTTGCACTTAAAAACATCGGAATTGGCCTATCACAGCATGACACTGGTACACGCCCCCCCACCGCGGCGCTTCAGTGGTTCGCACACCTGCCAATCATCTATGAAGGCGAAGACCTCGCTCGTTATTGGGTAGCACATCCGTCGCGCTTCCTTAGCGATTGACAAGCAGCGTTCTCCAATGAGGAACGTTCGCTGGCCCGTCCCGCCCACGAGAGCCTCACGCTCGCGCCTGCGCTGCAGAGCCGGTGCGTGGTGCCCTGGGTTGGCTCTGGCCGCAGCAGGGCCGAGCTGGGCATCGCTCCCGGGCCTCGGCTGTAGCTGAGTAGTTAGCACAACCTCGAGTTCCGGTTAGCCCCAGGGTGTGGGACCTGGCGCCCGCCCTTCAAGGGCCCCACGTGCCTCTGTCTCCCAGGAGTGACCCGACTCCGTGCCGCCCCCAGCGGCACAGCCTTTACCTCTTCACCCTCGCCGGCTTCCCTGCGCGCTGTGAGGCCGAGCTGGTGCTGCGCGACGCGTCCTCCCTGCGGCGGCTCTGCCACTGGGCCGATTCTGAGCGAGGCAGGAGGTTGGGATCCGCCCTGCCCGCCGGCCCAGCCACCCCCGGCGCTGAGGATCCAGCGAGTCGCCTAGCCCAACCCCTAAATCTAGCCCGACGGCGGCGGTCGTGGGGTCGCCACGAGTACAGGGTGTCACTGCTCTAAATTAAACCATTCGGGCTGCAATCTGGGCTTTTGCAAACTCGTCCTCGGTATTTTAATCACTATTAAAATCACTGCAGAATAGGACTGCTTATACCGACAGCTGCCAGGCTCAGCCTGCGGTGATTGAAGCCGTCAGGTGCTGCTGGCCCTGCGCGTCTTCAGTGCTGCTGAGAGCAGGCAGCTGGCAACGCGGAGTCAAATTAAGCAAATTATGCCCAGAAGCTAGAAGACTCCGCAGCAAGGCATAGCACGTAGGATTCCGATTTGAATATTGAATGGTGTGAATTGGCCTTTGGTATTTAAGAGACATTCATGGAGCCTGGCTTCCCGCAAAGTGAGAGCCAGGGAATGTGAGGCTGGAGGAACTGGATTGGCTTCCGCTTTCAAGGCGAGATGAAGGGGCTTTTGCTAGCTTTTCAGAGGATGTGGAAATGCAGAGCAGGGTGCTGTGGGTTTGTTGTGGGCTCCTGCTTCTGCCCAGGAGAGAACAACGTCTAGTCCCGGCTACAGAAGAAAACAAGACTCTGAAGACACTAAAGATAAGTCAATTTTAAAAAAGAACAAAAGATTTAAATAGGAATTTTTCTAAAAGTGACACCAAATGACCTATAAGCACCTCAAAAGATGGGCATCGTAAACTTATACTGACAAGGGGGCTGCTGGAGATGTAACTCATTGCAAAGGCCCTGGGTTCAACCCCAGTGTATGCACACGCATGCACAAAATGTCTAGCAATTTGGTATAATTTGTTAAAATTTAAACAAGCTGTACTCTCATAATCCACTTCCTGACATCTGTCCTAGGGAGACACTGGAGGAAGCTAGCAAAGCAGATCTGAAGGATTCTCATCCCAGCATCTCTGTGATTGTAAAAGAAGTAAGGATAACCAGACACCATGTGATACTGTGCAGCCTCTTGACATCACTCAGGAACCACAAGCAATGATTCCTAAACACACAGGTACAGCCAGCACCTGCAGCACAGTAGTATATAATGAGCTCATTTGCGTTACACGTCTTACAAATATTACACACATAGAGAAGAGTGTGGGCCCTGTTACTAACAGTGGGGTTGTTACAGGTGCCAGGAAAGATTTAGCTTTACAGTATTTCCAAATGTTTCACTATGAGAATGTAATTCATCCTCAATCATTAAAATGAATTTTAAGGGCTGGGGATTTAGCTCAGCAGCATAAGCACCTGCCTGGCAAGCTCAAGGTCATGAGTTCAATCCCTGGTACCAAAAAGTAAAAAGAATTTTAAGTCAGGTGTGGTAGTGTACACACGGGATTCCAGTACTAGGGAGACTGAGGCAGGAGGATAACTGCAAGTCTGAGGCCAATCTGCACTACATGCTGAGATTCTGTCGACAAACAGCCAGGAAGGTAGCTCAGTGGCACAAGTGCCTGTCTGGCAATCACAAGGTCCTGAGTTCAATTCCTGGTAACAACCAACCAATAAAACAAAACAAAAATTCCAGGTGTAGTATATACACGTTCTTCTCTCTCTGAGCTGTGATTAGATTCCTCTACCCCAAATTGGCCCTGTAAAAAGAGAATAAAACTGGAGACTTCTGGACACAGTGGGTTCTGTCCCGTCGGACTCCAGCCAGTTTGCCATTAGTAAAAGCAATTTGTAATAACTTGGACCCTGGTATAAAATCCAAGGAAGCAAGAGACTGAAATTTGGGGAGCAAAGGCTTTATTAGGCCAGCCCTGGTGATGAGTCTCCGGGAGCCAATTTGGAGACTGTACCTGACAGCTAAAAGTCAGGGCTTTTATCTTGTAAATCCACAAACAGCTGCTGGTCACACAATGTAAGGAGGGGGATGGGGGTGTGGCGCGCTACAGAAACAGAAACAGCGATTACACACGTCTTGGGAAGAGCAAGATCAGGTAAGGGTTGTGCTAACAAGCACGTCTCCCTGCATACAAGCAAGTTTAGATAAGAAGAAATCTTGTTTTCCTTAGCAAATAATAGAGAAGTCTAATAGCAATTAACAACTCCTGTTAGCTTATCTTAGCATCACATCTGTTATTTGTAGAGGGCAGCAATGGTTAACATATCAGTTAGGTAAGGTTTTACAATTCTTTACAGAGAAGAGCATTGATTAACGTATCAATTAGGTCATCCAAAGGGAAAAGGAAAACACAGTGAGCCAGCGTTACAGGTTTTGTTATAATAACATATAACGAAGCTATTTTCTTAGAGTACAACAAATTCTGTACTGTTGTTCCCTACCCCCCCCAGTCAGTAGTGGGGTCTTCTTCAATTGTGTAGGGGATGATGACCCAATTCCACATCCCTTTTTTTGAGACAGAGACAGAGTCTTGCTATGCAGTTCATTCTGGCCTTAAACACTTTGTAGCCCAGGCTGGCCTTGAACTTACAGCAGTCCTCCTGCCTCAGCCTCTCAAGTGCTGGAATCACAGCTTGCATCACCACACCCGGCCCCATTATTTATTATCTCAGGTCTCATTGTATTTTACGTTTTCAGGCAGAGTCTCTCTGTCTTGCTTAGCATGGTCTCGAACCCCTGAGCTCTCTTGATCCTCCCATCTTAGCTTCTGAGTAGCTAGGACTCAGACCCTGCACCCCTGCACCTGCTCCTGCACACATTTTAGTCTCTCTCTTGGGACCACCCACCTTTGGGACCAACTGTCTGAGTCCAGCTCCCCAGAAATGGGCTCTGAGATGGGAATTTGTGCACAAGAACTTTCCTTGGGTACGTTCTCAGGAACAGATCTTGCAAGTGTAGGAGACCAGGACATACAACATTTGCATAAAAATTACTTTGAGGTGTAGGCAGTTAAGCAGCCAGGTAGGGAAGCTCTCTGATCCCTTCTCTATTTGGAGATATCACAGAGCTCCCTTCCAGATTCCTGCCCTGGGAAACTGAGAGCTGCTGCCCTCTGTTTTGTTTATAAATTTATCTTCTTTTCTGAAGGTGCACAAAGGAGTCAGGAGGCATTGTTCTGAGTTACTTCCCCCTGAAGTTTCTCCTGAGGGATGTATTTGTTTTCGCTTGTTAATCTGTTTGTTAAGGTTTTGCTTTCTTTACCTACAGAAGGAAGTCAGGAGAGAAGAAGCTGAGAGGCATGCCACCTGGGCCTCATGGTCCACAGGGGCTCTGGGGCTGGGGCGGGGGCACTCAGAGTCATCCCTAGAAGACCAGTCAGGGAACACAGACTGCCTAGCAAGCTTCTAGTGTCTCCATTACACCACTACGTACCTAATTTAGTGCTGTCGTTTTTTCTTTCTTCCTTTTGCTTTTGCTTTTGTTTGTTGGTTTGGTTTGGTTTGGTTTGAGACAGGGTCTCACTATGTAGCTCAGGCTGGCCTTGAATTCACTGTGTAGCACAGACCTGCCTCAAATTCACATCGATCCTCCTGCCTCAGCCTCCTGAATGCTGAGATTACAGGCCTCTGCCACCACATTTTGGTATACTTGATATCTTTGAAGAAAGTTCAGGCATGTGATACCAGAGAAGTGTATTAAATGAAAGACAGGTGAATGACACCATGTACTTAATGGCTTCACGTTAATTTTATGTGATTACAAACTGAGCTTGCAGTTTAATCAAGATTGCTTTGTAGTTAGCAGTGACACACAGGCCACTTACCAGCAGTTCCCCTCAATAACAGAAAATGAGGGTCAAAGTAGTCATCACACCACAAGGCCAGAACCAGGGACAGACTCAGAGAGAGCTTTCCTAGTCTAACGGTAGGACTGAATAAGTAGTCTGAAAGAATGGGATCTGACTTGCAGAATGTACATGTAATTTTAAGTATTTTCATCCCGTGGCTCAGGGATTCATTCTACCTAGCAAACAGGATTTGTGGGGTGTAAATTCCGGGCGGGCACTGATTCAGGAATGATCACCGGGGGATGGTCATTGTTTTAATTTGGGGTGTTTTATTTGGGGTGCAGAGTAAATCTGAGCTGGACATCTGCATCACATGTGTAACCTGAGGCCTTGCACCCTGGCCACGGGCAAGTGAACAGGGGACTATTGAGATTGGGTACCTTCTAAATATTTTTATAGGTATATATTATACTATTGTAAAATATTTTAAAACTTTTTATTTACTTTTTTCTTTGAGACAGGTTCTCACTATGTAGTTCAGGTTGGCCTTAAATTTAAAGTGATTTTCCTGCCTCAGCCTCCCAAGTGTTGGGGTCACAGGTGTATGCCTCTGTGCCCACTTTATACTTTTTTTTTGAGACAGGTCCCCACTTTGTAGTTCAGACTGTCCTTGAACCCACTTTGTAGCCTAGATCGGCCTCAAACTCTTGAACTTACAGCAATCCCTCTGCTTCAACCTCTTGAGTGCTGAGATTACAGTCATGTGCCACATGCCCAACAGCTTTATTGCCTTTTAAATGAAGAATTTACAGGATTGACAGCTTGTTAGAAATTGCTTTACAACTGTTAAATGGCCAGGTATGTTGGCACACTGCTGTAATCACAGCACTTGGGAGACTGAGGAGGAAGATTGTTGCAAGTTGGAGACCAGCCTGGGCTACAGAGTGAGCTCAAGGCCAGCCTGAACCAAATAAGGAGACCGTCTCAAAAAGCTGTCATGTGGAACTGTTCAAATGTTTGCAAAAGAGGAGATCTTATAGTCAATTCCTATAAACTCAATACTCAGCTCCAACGACTGTGTGTTGGCCAATCTTTCTTTATCTGCTCCCCTCATCTCTTATCAAATTTCTTAACCCAAACGCAGACATCATGCCATCTTACCTGCAAATACCTCGATATGCATCTTTAAGAATTTTTTAAAGGTGGCTGGGAATAGAGCTTAGCAGTATAGCACCTGCCTGGCAACTATGAGGTCCTGAGTTTGATTCCTGGTACAAAAATAAAGTGTTTTTACAAACCTAATCAATAAACCAGTGTCACTCTTACTACCAGCAGTAATTTTTTCATATCAGCTCGTCTCTGATGATCTAAATGAGCCGGCCTCGTCATAACCAAAACAGGAGTCAGGCACTGCAGCTGGTCGTGTGTGTCTCTAAGCCTCTTGTTCCACGGCACAGCAGTCTTCTGAGGAAGGTGTCACTGTGCATCCCTAACTGGCCTCAAACCCACATGTTCCTGCCTCGCTGCCCAGGTGCTGGGCTTACAGGTATTTCTCACCATGCTTTTTGCTTGCTTTTCTTCCTTCCTTCCCTCCCTCCTTCCCTCTCCTCCCCTCTCTCCTTCTTTCTTTCTTTTTGTTGAGACAGGGTCTTGCTATGTCGTTCAGACTGGTCTGAACTCACTACACAGCCTGGCATGGCCTTGAACTCAGTGATCCTCCTGCCTCAGCCTCCCTAGTGCTGGGA